ACAGCCCAGAAATAAACCGGCTAGCAACAGGTTCTTCTTGACAGTCATCAGAGGCGTAACAATATCATCCACGAAAACTACAAACAAGTCTTCCTCTACAGCATTTACTCCATGTTTGGGCATGGGAGCAGTCACAACATTAGGCCTCTCGGGCGCCTCAAACTCAATCTCCTTTGCGTCAATTAGGTCTTGTACCCTGTTTCTCAAAACCCAACAATCATCTGTATTATGCCCCGGGCTATCAGAGTGAAAAGCACAGCGGGCGTTAGGGTTATACCTTGGTGACGTTGTATTTGAATTATTTGGAGCTTCTTTTAGGGTTACCAGATTGGTCTTCAGCAACTGGGGCAGAATCTGAGACAAAGTCATGCTGAGACGAGTAAATTGCCTTCGAGGTCTGTCGTCCTTCTGTTGATTGTTGTGCTGAGGGGCACCAGCTGGTTTTGAAATAATAACCGCATTGACAACTTGGCGGTGTTCAGGTCTATTCTATCTTCTCGAACTGTAGATAGCACTAGACTCTTTCTTAAACGGCTTCTTCTCAGTTCTAGATGAGGCACCCTTCTATATCTTTCCATCCTTAATACCAGCTTCAATCCTTTCACAAGTCAAAATAAGATCTGTAAACCCAGCAGAAGAGCTTCCAATCAGATGGTTAAAGAACGGACCTGACAGGGTCCCCAGAAACATGTCAACAAGCTCACGATCAGCCAAAGGTGGTTGCACCCTTCCGGCAAGGGCTCTCCACTTTTGAGCATACTCTTTAAATCCTTCACCCGCTCCTATTGACATACCCTGGAGTTGGATACGCGTAGGAGCAAGGTCGGAGTTATACTAATACTGCCTATAGAATGCGGTAGCCAAATCTTCCCAGCTACGGATACTGGCTCCATCCAACTGATAGAACCACTCAAGCTGAGTCCCTGAGAGATTGTCTTGAAAGAAATGGATCCATAAGTTCTTATCAGCAGTGTAAGGCTGGATCTTCCTCACGTATGACCGGAGGTGCAGCTTTGGACAGGAAGCTCCGTCATACTTGGCAAAGGCAGGTTCCTTGAATTTATAAGGAATCACCACCCCAGATGATAGACCCAGATCTCCGAAGTCCAGACCGAGCACCTTCTGTATTTCCATAGCGCTCAAACGGTCTTCCAGCTGTTTGTACTTATCCTCAGCAGGAGGATACTGTTCTTCATCATAGTCTGTCTCGTTGTTGGAGACCATAGGGCTAGGAGCCCTCCTTTCTTGTGGACTATCTTTCCCTCCAGATGGGGTGGTCAGATCAACTTCATTCTGAGTCCCGTTTCCAAACCTGCGTCCAGTGTTGAACAGGATGATCCTCTTTTTCTTCTTCTTATTATTATTCTTTTCCAACGAAACTTTGAGGTCCTCCTGACCCTTTGTGCCTGCAGATCCTTTACCGTTTGCTCCAAATCCATCTTGCTGAAAGAAACAGCAGAAAGATAAGGAAACCTGGCGTGAAGACCTGTTTATGCATATGATGAATGGTGTGCTATTCATGTAATGCATTCAAGGGTTCAAAAATTTAAATTTGTTGCAGACAAAAAGAACACATGTCATATTAAGAAGAAATTTGTTAGTACATAAGTGCCCCATGGGCGAAATACTACAAAATTCTTAATGTAAAAAGACATTGCGCATCCTTTTTGGAGCGATGTAAGTGTTGAGGGTCTCCTCCTCGTGAAGTCGGCGGGTAAGCTCCAAAACCTTCTTCTCACTGGCATAGAAGCTGGCTTCAAAAGTATCCCGTTCTTCCTTGAGTTGGATCCAAATCTTTTGCATTTCTTCCCATGATGTTGGCATGTCAGGATGTAGGATGGCGTATGGCACCTCTCCTTCCATAACAGGCTCTATGATCAAGGTGAGAATGTGAGGATATGGCATCATAAGATTCTGGGAGCGGGTTCGTACCCACTTGAGGTAAGGCTCAAGGGGGATGGAATTATTATGCCCCAGTGTCTTACTATCCACCTTGTTAGGCATCCTCCAAGCTCTGATGAACCTTTTTCGAAGTCCTTGTGCATCGTTATTGAAGTCAAAAACTAGGTCAGGAATCAGCATGTCATGAGGGCCATCCCTCCGAGCATATCCAAATTGTCTCAAAGCTAGACAGGGGTTGTAGGTAATGCCTCCCCTAATTCCAAGTAATGGAACCTTAGGAAATTCTCCGCAACGATCAATGATCACTACAAGAAAAAAAGAGATTTACGACACATAAATTGCGACAGTTCCCACAAAACCGTCCTTATTCCTGAATTGCGACAGTTGTCACGACGGTTAGGCTCAACCGTCGTAGATTTTCAAGCATTATTCCTGAATTGCGACAGTTGTCACGACGGTTAGGCTACTTTTTTTTATTCTTTTACTTTCCCACTTTTTTTCAGCAACACAATATCATAATATCAACACAATATCATAATATTTTCAACAACTAATATTTATTATTAAATTATAAACAAAATACAACAAATAAAAATATAAAAAAACAAAATAGGAGTAACAAACAAAATTGAAAGAGGATTAGGTTTTGTGAAAGAGCTTTTTATCCGATTGAAGCAAAGAACCACCGCCGGAAGTACGATGTTGCGCCTAGAATGGTGAAGCTTCCATTCTTCGATTCGACTCAATCTTCTTCATCTTCTGCGCGATCTTTGTATCATCCGAATATCAAGGTATATAAATTATTGATTCAATCTTCTTCTACTTCTTTTCAATTTTCTTTCGATTTTACCGTGGTGATGTGTTTCGGTTGAAGTTGCAGAATCAGTTGCATTGATGAAGATGATGAACGAATGAAGTTATTGATTCAGTGAAGATGCATTGAGGACGATTGAAAAACGGAAGGTGATGATGCTGTTTTGAGATAACCAGAAGGTGAGTTTTTCTTTCTTTCTGTGAATCTCCTTCTGAGTTTTTTGTGTGATTTTCTGATTGAATGAATCGTGAGCCAAGTGAGAGAGTGAAAGTTTTGTATGATGTAAAGGACTTGTGATGATAATGGTTTTGTAATGCTTGTGAACAACTTGTAATGAACATGATAGACTACGGTGGCTCCATATTCAGAATTTCAACCGCCGGTCACTGCAATTTGAGTGTTCATTCAGTATATTAAATCCATCCTCTTTGTCGAGAAAGGGTCTTGATGTTCATACTGTCCATCTCCATAGGCTACTGATGCGCTTTCAACATTTAGAGTCTTTATCCTTATGTGGTTGTACGGAGCTCAATGATTCAGGATTAACCCGTCTGCTAAGCTATGGTTCGAATTTACAGAAACTTAATCTAGATTGTTGTTTGAAAGTTACTGATTACGGGCTATCCCTGGTTGCTTCTGGTTGTCCCTCATTGACGTCAATTAGTCTCTATCGGTGTATCAACATTTCTGATGACGGATTAGAGACTTTAGCCACTGCTTGTTTATCTTTGAAATGCATAAACCTCTCGTACTGCTCACAAATATCCGACAAAGGGTTGAAAGCTCTTACTCAGAGGTGTCGTCAGCTTCAGGCAGTTAACATATCACACTGTGAGAGTATAAGAGGTGTTGGCTTCAAAGGGTGTTCAAAATCTCTCACACATGTAGAGGCTTGGTCTTGTAAGCTCAACCCAGAAGGGGTGACGGGAATAATTAGTGGCGGTGGTATAGAGTATCTAGACGTATCTTGTTTAAGTTGGTATCCCTTAGGAGATACCTTGCTTGGAATAAGATTGTCCTCAAACCTCAAAGTCCTTAACTTTCGAATGTGCAGATCTGTTTCCGATACTTCTATTGTTGCAATAGCCATGGGATGTACACTACTTGAAGAATGGAACTTAGCATTATGTCATGAGGTGAGGATATCTGGATGGCAAGCAGTGGGGTTATATTGTCAGAATTTGAAGAGACTGCATGTTAATCGATGCCGTAATCTCAATGATAATGGCCTGCAGGCATTACGAGACGGTTGCAGAAGTCTCTCGGTTTTGTACTTGAATGGTTGTGTTCACGTGACTCCTTTTGCATTAGAGTTATTCAAGTCTCACAGAGCAAATGTTTGTATAAAGGATGAAGAGGTAATGTGCATCAATCCTTACTCCCCATTCAGATGATACTGACTGGTACAGAATTGTCATCTCCCTAGAGAAAGGTCTGCATTCAGCTGAGTATTTACCAGTTGTTTCAAAAGGTCTTTATTTGTGTATAAAATGTATTTTAAAACTCGGGGTTGCTTCTAGTTATACATTACTTAGATGCTACCTGGTATAGATTTTCACCTGTCATAAATATTTACACATAATTCTGGTATTGAATTCGATAGAGGTACATTAGTATTGTAATTTGTCATTTATATCACGTAATGATCTCAATACATAATGTCACTTTGAGGACAAGTATGCATTTTCCAAAGATGTTCTTGATTACAAAAAAGATTGTTAACTATGTAGTTCTTGATTTGTTTAATCCGATAGCAAGCTGAAGTGTTGTGTCTGGACATTAAACAAGCTTCACACTAGTCTGTGTTACAATTTTCTATGAATAACAAAGCATCAAATAGTTCACGTTTTAAGTTGTTGCAACATTAGAGCTAAACTTGTCAAATAGGGACTATGTCCAACTTCATTATATGTAAAAACAAGTTCTGTCAAATCTCAAAAAAGGTAAAATTCAACATTTATAAAATGATATTGAATATAGTAAGTTCCCGACATGTTCCATTGATTCATTGATTCTATCCAAATGCACAACTTTCTTTAGATCGTTGTTCCACAATCTTTCCCTTATTTGCTTAGTATCATTATCAACAAAGAACATGAACGTCTATCCCATACCAAGTTGGATTCAAATTAAATTTGAATTTGACTTGAAATTTAAATTTAAAGCAAAACTCCATTTTGACATAAAAACAAGATATAATCATTTGATTGTAATGTGGATCTGTGACTCAAATTCAAGTGTTCTTGGTTCAAAGAAGTGGAAGTGAAATAATAAAAAACTGCACATGAAACACAACTGCAAGATTAACGCAAGATTTGATGATTTGTTTTTCAGGTTTGTTGAAAATCTGGTAAAATGCTGGTACTATTTGAAACGCCGGCGGGTTTTGCCCTTTTCAAAGTTCTCAATGCTGTTTTTTATTCTAGTTTGATTGATGGACTTGGAAAGGCGGGAAGGGTGGATGAAGCTGAGAAGGTGTTTGATGAAATGGCTGAGAAGGGGTGTCTGCCGGATTCATATTGCTACAATGCGCTCATCGATGGACTTTGTAAGTGTGGGAGGGGTGTCTGCCGGATTCATATAAAAAAAGGTTACATAAATTGCTTAAGCGTGTTGTTCTGTCTAATCTTAGAAATGTTAATAAATTTGGCCGATGGATAATTGATGTACTGTTGCTGCTTTTGGCAGGGATGCTGCAGAATCCTGAGTACCGTCAACGACTTGAAGAAATGCTGTAAGTTCTTTATATTGTACTAGTATCTTCCAAGCCTTTTTTTGTCCACCGCCATGTATATCCATCATAGCGCCCATGGCGCTGCTATTTGTTAACACTGAATCTGACTCCCTATTCTTTACCTAACAGAACCTAACATTTGGAATTAGGATAAATGCCAGTCCTGGAGGAAATTAAATGACCATTCTTCTGCTTTTGTACAATAACCTTTTGTTTGAGTTTACTTATGACTGGATTCATGGTCACTACGTTGATTTTAGACCTAAAGTTGCACAGAAATGTAAATCTTATTTGTTATTTCTCACTAAAGTGTCATTCTATGTGCTGCAGTTATATAAATCAATGTATTTTCTAGTAATATATTGGTAAACTGTACTCTCTGGCCACTAGGGATTCACACATCCTTTCTTTTTCTCCTATATATTTGGTTTCAGAAACAACATGGGTGGAGGCACTGAATGGGACAGTCGAATGATGGACACCTTAAAGAATTTCGACCTTAATAGTCCTGCTGTTAAACAACAATTTGGTATGTCTCACATTTTACAAGAGATGTCTTTTTTGAGAGATGGATCAATTCTTTAATTCTTTCTACATTCTCCTTTCCTGTTTTCTAACATTTTATATTATCACTTTCATCAGATCAAATTGGGCAGAAACTAGGGGAAGGTGTGAAAGGGGTGTATATCTCGATAGACATGGATTGTCTTGATCCTGCATTTGCTCCGGGAGTGTCTCATATTGAACCGGGAGGTCTTTCTTTCCGCGATGTTCTTAACATCCTACACAATCTTCAAGGTGATGTTGTTGCTGGAGACGTCGTTGAACTCAACCCACAACGCGATACTGTTGATGGAATGACTGCTATGGTAGCTGCTAAGTTGGTCAGAGAAATGGCTGCAAAGATTGCAAAATGATCAAGAGATTTCGGAGCTAACCTCTTTTTGTTATAGTTCCTGAAAATCGGAAAATCTCACTTGTTATAGGTAACTTGTAGCAAAGTTATAAGGTGGTATAAGCATATTACAATGTGCAATAATTCATAAATCTTTTCTCCCAATAATAAGTACTGGTATCTCACGGAAATCTCACGCTTCAATAGCAAAAGCAATGTCTCCTTGCATTATTTTACAAATGGTTTCCCAACTGAATTAATAATACTGAGTTAGTAAATATTTCAAAACAATTGGATTGCTCATTTCAAAACAATGTTGAAAAGTGATAGAAAATAAAATAAAAATACTATAAATAAAAAAATATTAAAGTAAATAATAATTTAAATATAATAGTAAAATATTATAGTAAAATAATATTATATTTAAAATTATTTTACTAAATAATAATTTAAATAAAAATATTATTTGAAATTTATAAATCAGATTACGACGGTATATAACCGTCGCAAACAACAACAACAAAAAATAAAGTCAAATTCACGACGGTATATAACCGTCGCAAACAACAACAAAAACAAAAAATAAAGTCAAATTCACGACGGTATATAACCGTCGCAAACAACAACAAAAACAAAAAATAAAGTCAAATTCACGACGGTATATAACCGTCGCAAACAACAACAAAAACAAAAAATAAAGTCAAATTCACGACGGTATATAACCGTCGCTATCTGTTGTGCGTGACAGTTTTTGCAACCGTCGCGAAATAGGCTGGGGACGCACGATTCTGCGACGGTACTTCTACCGTCGTAGATTGTAAATTGCGACGGTTTTAACCGTCGTAATCAGCCAAAATAACCGTCCCAATCTATCATTTTTCTTGTAGTGGATGATGACATTTTCTCTGGACCGAGAACACCAATGTACATCAGAATGTGTGAGGGTCATCAATCATTGTGACCACCTTAAACCCTGCTCATTCTTCAAAACTGATTATGGAAGGTGAGAAATAAATCACCTTGCTAGGAGAGGAGTACAGCACATGAGAACACCTCTTTTCCTCATTGTTCGTGTGTAAAATGAGTGGAGGATGTCCCCAAGCAATGTAGGTATGAGATTCCTGGACATGAAAATCTTGACAGCATTCACATCTATAAGTTGATCAGGATTTGGGAACAAAACCAACCCATAGATAAGGAGTGCCACAATCTCTTCAAAGGCTTGTATATCAAGAGAATTCCAGCATTCTTGTGCCTTCTCAAACAGAAACTTTGCCAAGAATCCCTTGACACCACTTCTGGTTTCCCAATGCCCCTTGATGTCGGATGGTTGCAAGCGTAATGCTTGAGCAACATCTTCAGGTTTTGGTTCCTTTTCCATACCATTGTAGGGTAGTTGACTAAGAATAGGAATTCTCAGGAGTTGAGAAAATTCCTCCAAAGTAGGCACCAATTGATAATCAGGGAATGTGAACCAGTGGTGTAGGGGGTCAAAGAACTGGAAGGCAACTTTCATCATGTCTTCTTCAATGTTGGTGTTGACCAAGCTGAGGAGTCTACCATATCTTTCACTGAAGAGATAATACTCGGGAATCCTGGATGTAAGCTCCTTGAGTTGAGGAGGGATCCTTACAAGGTTGACTTGAATTGTTTTCCTGCGAAGAGACTCCATGTCCTGCAAAACAAGAACAAAGATGAAGATCTAAACCCTTGAAATGGTTAGCGGATGCATATGATGCTTTATGATGTTCATGATGTATGCACAAACACATGTACAAGCAAGTCACACAAAAACCCTAGTTTCAGGCTTGCATGAGGTTTCATAGGTAAGTACCCTCTTGAGTTTAGTTGGCTCAAAACTTGTCCTATAAATAGTAACCGGGTTCTAAGGAGCTCAATATCATTGGATTGTTTTCTATGTTCATCGTTTTGGTTTAGCCACTTAACTAGCAACCAAAATATTCCAAGAAAACAATCCTCAATGAGTGTAGTATCGAGTATCTACCAACTTCGGACTACACCAAAGTCGGTCATCTCACTACCCCTAAAAAAGGCCAAGATGGTCAAGTAAGGTTCTAGTTCATTAGTGCTTAGTGATATCACTCAGCGGCCCCGTATTTTCTTTGATTGACTCAAAGGCTACCGGTACTCACAAATATGTCGCACTAATATAGTTATTGCTTCAAACGTATCGGTATACCCCACACAATTTCCACAACGTATTGCTATCTATGAATGTTTCCCAAATCCGGGTGGAGGATTTCAAACCCAAACAATAGAACCAAGTGTAAAGCAAACAAATTAATCAAGGTAAGCAAGTAAAGGTGATCTAAACCCTAAGGTAAACCCCACTTATTAGAATCCCCAACAGAGTCGCCAGTTCTGTGATCGGTGGGAATGAGAACTGACTGTTTTTGGAATGCTGGTTCGCATTTGCGTTTGTTTTCGCAAAAAGTCGCGGTAAGTAAAAGTCGCCACCGTCTTTTATTTGATCCAACAAGGAAAGGACAAAAGCACATAAAAATTCCTTTTCAAGATGTTTCTCGGGTTCAGGAGGTAGATTATAGAAAGGGAAGGTGTTAGCACCCTTCCTATCCGTGGTTATCCATGGGCTCCTAGGTAATTGCTCACTATGTTTTCAAAAGTTTGTTTTTCTTTGTGATTGTGGGTTTGAAAAGAGTTTTTGTTTGAAAGAGAGTGTAAGTGCGAACAGTTTTGTTTTGTTTTAAAAGGAGCAAGTACTTAAGAACATCTACCTACTCAAAAAGGAATTAAACTGTGCAAATGTCCTTTAGACAATGCTATCCCACTATTGAGGAGTAGGTAGCACCGTCGTTGGAGTTTTCGGGTCAATTCGATTTAAGGGACGTGTGGCCACTAAAACAATGTTAGGACGCCTTAGCGGTAACCCTAATGTCTTAGATCATTTTTCCGAGGCAACCATTTCGAGGCAACTTATGATCTTTGGACAGAAGGGCGACCTCTAAAACATCCTATACTCAATGACCACGTTCGAGGCAACCAAGTGAGGTGTACCCTAAGAGTGGCATGTGCGAGTGTATTGTTTTTCAGTTACATTATCTTTGTATATTTAGGTGTTCTATCGTTTGTTTTCAGATCTTGTCATGCAATCCTAGTTAGCATACATCTAAACAGTTAATATATGTATAGGAATTTAAAGTGCGGGAATTGTAAATCCTACGCTATTACAAGGCTTCGGGGAGGGGGATTATTTACATGTCCAAAATTGGGGGAATAAAGCAGTAAAGTGTAAAAGTCTTAGTTAAACTATCACAAACCAGTAGGCAATTACAATAAAATAAACGCGCGCGAATCTGAAAATAACCTCTAAAAATCCTAAGAATAAAATCTTTTTGTTGTTTTATTTTATTTTGGGAAAATGATCTAAATCTTCTTAATTTTAGTTTTGAGAAAATGTTAAGATAATTAAATGATTAATTAACAAAGTTAATTTAATAGAAAAAACTAGCCTAATGTTTTTGTGGTTTTTTTTAATTGATTTTATGTTGATTAAAAAAATAAATAAAATAGTCAAAACAAAGATGAAATCAAAGGAACAGGCAGTAAATTAAGAAAGGTATAATTCTGGAGGCTTGGATCGAAAGAGGTGTGGGTTGTCTTTAGATCCAGTGAAGAGGCTTGATCGAAGGTGCATGAGGGGTTGCACTTTGGGGGTGTTCGATCTGGATATGTCATCCTTCGATCTGGGAACCCTGGATCCAGTTTGAAGCTAAGCTGCTAAGCTTCGAAGCTCTGAACAAGATTCTGAGAAGATATTTCCTGCAAAACAAGACAAATGTTAAAGATCCAGGGGGGATTTTACCCCCCTGATTCGAATCTCCTCCCAATTCGAATCCTTCCTCAATTTGAATCTGCTGAATCTGGGTCTGGGTTTGTTTTATCCTGAGATTTAAAGGAGAAACTTAGATCGTTCCCAAGCAATGGCACGATCTGATCTTTGCGCTTTAGCTTACATGCAACATAATCAGTAATAACAAGAATACATATGAAATGTGTATTTAAATGTCATGAATGTACAATTTTGGTTTTGCAAACCCTTACCAATTAAAGATGTATGATCTGTGGCTCTGGGTGTGGAGATGTTTGCTGAATGGCTGCTTTGGCTTGGATTACTTATGAAAATGTTGATAACCTTTGGTGAGTTTGTGGGCAGTGTATCTCCAAATCCTCGTCTCTTTCTTTTTCTCCTTTTCCCTTTTTTTTTTGTAATGTGTCACTGGCCTCGTATTTATAGGAGTGTGGGGGTGCACGAAAATGGCAAGGGACCAATTTAACCAGGCCTTTAAAGCCATGAGACAAGAATCAGACATATTAAAAGATTTCCTTTTTTGAAATATTCATGTCTCTTTGGAATCTTGAATGAACCTGGACACCTTTGATTTTCGAATGCCTCCAGGCCATGCTCTTCGATTGGTCTTGAGTTGCCTCCTTCGAATGGACTTCTTATGTACCCTTCAAATGGGCCTTCTAAATGCTTCTTCAAATGGACCTTTTGAATGTTCTTCGAATTTACCCTTTGAATGCTTCTTCAAATGGACCTTTACATGTTTTTCGAATGAGTCATTTACATGTTCTTCGAATGAGCCTCTTGCCTGGTGTGCTGGCAAGTTGAGGGGCCTTTTCCTTTGTGAATCGAAACAAACTTGTAGGAGATTCTTGCCTCGTGATTCGAAGGTAAGCCTGATGTAGTTAATGCATAGTCGAAGCATTGTGAAATTGACTTGATCGAAGGGGGGTTCAGCACTCAATCAAAGACTTGCATACTAAAGCTTGATCGAAGGGTTCCAAACACCTAATCGAAGCTTACTAATCAAATCCTGATCGAAGAGTGCGAAATGCCCAATCGAAGACTGGTGAATCAAGCCTGTATCGAAGGATTTTGGATGCCCAATCGAAGACTTTTTCCCAGATGCCAATCGAAAGACACTTTTTTCATCTTCAAAAAACTTTATTTTCGTTAGGCAAGTGTTTGTGACCAAC